ATTTTTTTTAACCAGTAGGAGTCTCAAGAAACAAGACAAATGGATGTCTTCATTTTCATTGTGTGGTGTACCCCAACATTTTTCTCAACAAAATCATGCCAGAATATCTGGTCACTTTAGTTAATTAAATAAAGAACAAGATAAACACAGAGAAAACTCATTCAGACAAACAGACCCAGAACAGTAAAAATCTACCTCAATGATTAGGAAGGCTTATAAAACCAAAGCCAAGTCTAAGAAAAATCTCATTGGGAAAAAAAAAATTCATGTTTAGGTCCAATAGTGAGTAGTACAACTCAAGGAGTTAACTACTTAACTTCATGAATTTGTCAAAAGTGAGTACTGCCAATAAATTAGGAGACTTCATTGAACTCGGGGGGTAGTTCAATAAGATTTAAGTTTGTCAACAGGGTGCCAGTTGTTTGACTATTATAAGCTTGTGGGTGTAAAGTTGGTGATTACAACTTTTTATTTTGCTGTATTATTTAAAGTATATTTTAGGGTTAAATACTTGTCGGTGTATTCTTGTATTTAAGTTCAGATTGTTTTATGGCATATTTTATAACTAACTGTGCCAAACATGACATTTTCCCATTTTGTTTATTCTCTTTTTACCTCATCAAACTGTTAAAGGTTGAATTCAACATACTCATGTGAAGTGGAATGGCACTAATTTTATTCTAAGTCTCATGTGGATATAATGCTTTGAGGCCTTGATTCCTAAATATACTCATGATGCTTGTCGCTTATCTCAGCAATAAAGAATTTGATCTTAAATCCAGGAATTCTGAGGTGCAGTTATCAACATCATGTCTACTCGTCACCACCTCTTGTGGCCAAAGAGCCACACTTGAGTTGCATTGTTAGGCCACAATGACAAGCATGCCCCGAGAGCACTCCCCTACCAGCCATGAGCCACACACAGGTGCCGACACACCTGTCAATTGGTCTATTGCAGAGCTCTTGTTTATTCTGTGCTGGTTGTTATAGTTTTGTTTGTCACATAAATCAATGCTTAGTTCACGCTATTTACATGTATAACTCATCTCGGTGGCAGCTCATAAAAGGTCTGATCTAATGATTCAGATGATAATTAGAAACAGAAGCGAACGTCAGAGAGCAGGCAGGCCTTTGCAACTTCTGTCCCACAAAGTGACCTTTTCACTCAAGTCACTCAGGGCTCCTTGTAGTAGAGAGGCCGGTGCAAGATAAAGAATATCACAATTACTAGTAACTTACTCATAAACATCATTAGTGATAATAGGCAATAATGAGTTAATCCACAGCATGTCTCCTTAACAGAAACTACATTAAAGCATGTCAATAGATTGACATGTTTACTTATAAATTACTTACACTATTCTCATCTTCAGGTCCCCTTGCATGTAGTAAACCAACAAGAAGCTCTCTCAGAAATATTCTTAAGCCTTTTCACACACAAAGTTTCAACTTGGAGGGCAAAGACAAATTCAAATGATTCTCAAAAAGGAAGTTACTTCATTGGAGCCAATTTCCATCATTTGTTCTCTTTCTACTTGTTCTTAGAAAACTTGGCTCAAAAGCAAAAAGGTGAAGGCATGTTAAGGGAGAGTTAGCATGGATTGTCATTTATTAAGACTATTAATAGTAATATTATTAAGACTAAACATAAAGCAGTCAATACTTTCTGATAATCTAATGAATATGGTGCACCTCCTCTACTTAATCATTTAAAAAGCATTTGAGCATCTGAATTCATAGCCACACATTTGTATCATCACCACTTTTGGCTTAATGTTTACTGAGCCATATGGACTTAATACTGCCATGTCCTAGAGCACACGCTTACAAAAAAGGACGAAGTATACAACTAAAATTTATTTACTCTATGAAATGAAAGGACTTCATCTGTATTTACTGAGCACAAATATTCTTTTCTTAAATATATATATTTTCAAAACCATTTATATCCATTGCCCATTTGTAAACAGAAAAACTATAATAGTTCACTAGAATTATTATTCTTATTATTGCTTTTTCAGTTTTACTTTAGCTTCTAAGACATGTCTAAAAGCAATTCCCTTGACACTTGGTATAATTTCATGTATTTCTAGTGACCTTCCCCTTATATTGGTTTACTGTAAGATTATCATAAGTCAGAGACACCATAATAGCCCAAAATTAAATAATACAATCAAAGGTGGTCTTCTGAAGTAGGGATTTACGTTAAGCTTATTTCTGATTGCAAATAAATAAATCAGATTTAATGATGTTTAAGAATAACAATATGTGTTTAAGAAGATTGAAATATTAAGTGTCTGTAACCAAGTCAATTGCATAACTGATATGACTATTCACTCAACTCTTCTGATAGACAGAGGTCATTATGCCAAACCATGCCAGTGAGGTTATGAGTTCAGTCAGACAGGGAAGTGATTTCCATAGTTCTTATCCAAACTGTCAGTTATTTGGGATGAAAATGCCACAGAAGCCCTGGCTGAAAAACAATTGGATATCAGTGGCCCCGAATAACCTGCCAGTTTCTAACCAACTTTGGTCACACACTCCTGACTCAGCAAGTGCTCCAGGCAATACTTCATCCAACTTTTAAAAAATATCTGAGAGGTTTTGAAGATTTCTGTTTTGCCACAAAAAGATATTTGGTCTAATTCAATATTTATCAACTCTTATAGAGAGGCAGTGCTGGATGGTTTGCAATTTCTCTGTCAAGTATTTACTGCTTCTGTAAACTATTTCACTTAACCACCACTGGGGATCTACTAGTTTTACATAATCTATTTGTATGTAGTTGTTTCCAATATTGCTTATGATACCTGTGGAGGTTAGTGGGTAGCCTTCTAGATATCAAGTTTGTAAAAGCATTTGAATGACCTTTGAGGGTTTTTTGTTTTGTTTTCTTATGGAATTATTTTTTAACTGGTTTGAATATTTGTGACAAATTAGAAATATATTTCTTCTCCATTTTGTTCTCAACATAGCTGCCAATCTTTTTTTTATCAACCTAAACCTTTATTTGTAAGTAAATAAAAAAAATACATTGCAGTATATTCTTCTGATGAATATTATATTACTGAACTGAGAAACATATTTATTTGGTAACCTTATTTTTCTTTTATTGTATTTAATTATATCACTCCAGTTAAAATAAAACCACTTGGTGAAAAGACAAGGCAGTTTCTTTGCATTTATTTGATTATATGTCACAGACCCTGAGAAGGTTTGCCACTTTTATAATGATCATTTCAAGTAGCTCAAACTGATAACTCTATTTCTAAAATGTATCTACTCCACATGAAGGAATAACGTCCCTCTCAGTGGGGCGTAAATAGCATGATCTATGGAGCCAGGTTGAAATCTCTCTTCTTAAGTACAGTCTATGCTGGGAGTACAGAATAGATGTTGGAAGCAGTGTGAAAGAATCCCAAATGCAGATTACACAATAATTGATTTGACCAAATAAATAGGGCTAAAATGTTTAAAGGTATAGAGTGTACACAGAAGAAAAAAAAAAAAAAAACCTCTTAGGGCTCATTCCCCTTGACTTGAGAGAATTGAGTTCCATAAACTAACTGAAGGCATTGACTATTTTGTGCTGGGCTCCGGGACAAGGTCTCGTATACACTGTGACATAGAATGACTGCAATAAGGCTCATCGATCATTTATATAAATGTCGGTAAAATAGCAAAACAATGTGATTATGTAAATGATAATCAAATGCTTGAGTTGGTCAGGCTATACCTAGCTTATTGATAAGAATCCATTGTTTTAGTGGAGCTGCTTTTATAAAATGGGTAAGAAAAATGGTGAAATAGTCATTTTGCAGCAGGGACATTCTGAATAGGAGGGAACTAACAAATCATTGCAATGAAGGCAGGAGCCTGAGCAAGGCTAGACTTAAGGGGTTGATCAAGTCTCTGAAACAGTCTGCAGACATGTTTGTGCATAAGCATTTGTGCATTTTTCCAGGGTTTGGGTCCATAGCCTTCATTAGAATTTCCAAAAGGTCTATAAAGCTGTCCGCCCTACACCACACACCCATATACAATGGATTTCTGTCCCTGGGTAGCACTTTCAAGGGAACAATAGGGCGAATTAATTTCTCTGTGCAAAAAAAAAAAAAAAAAAAAAGCACTAATATAAACATAAACTTAGAGAAATAGAAGTGATTTATAATTTTTAATGTATCTAAATAAGTTCAGTGACTCCTTTTTATTGAACATGATTATTTACAAGAAAACATGCAAGAGATTAAGAAACCATATTTATTTCTTCTTGGGTACAACCAGAGATGTTACCTCACACCTTAAAAAATAAATAATCTCATCAATAAATCTTATGCCCGACAGGATATTAAAAGTCCTTCTTTACTTTCACATAGAAGAGCTCAAAATGTTAATAGGTTTGGGATACAGTACAATTCCTCACAAAAAAAATCAGGCTGACCATGGAAACCAACATGTGCTGTGAAGAAATCATCCCTCATAGCACAGCCCTTTCTTTCTCATCACTCTGGAGAGCACACTGATTGGGATTTTAGGCACCAGTTCTATTGACTACAGAGAGGTTTCTTCATAGCTAGTCTGCAAATCCTCTATATATCTGAGCAATAATCTGAGAACATCCCATTACAAATGAAAATAACTACTGCAACTGAGGTAAACCAAACAGTTGTTTCTGTTTATTGGCACGGGGGCCCGCAATGTCACATATGTATAGCACGCTAAAGTTCAAGATCCTGGGAACAGGATTATAAATGCATTTAAAGGGAGGTTTTGTTTGTTTTTTACCAATGACTCTGCTGTCTCTTCTCCAAGGAAAAGGAAAGAAGATTTATTGAATAGCACCATGGATCAAAATCTGATTGTCAAGTAGGACTTCTGCAATAATGTTGAAGGTAATACACTGTCGTCTCTTGCCCCAGCTTCGGGTGGTGTTTGTCCTCCGAGCGCCTTTGCCAGGGGTGGTTTATGCAGACAGCCAAGCAGCACTAAGCCTCTCACTAGACTGGCCCTTTGCTGAAGGCTCGCTGGCCAGCCTGCATGGTGCAGGACGCTGGCTCGCAGAAACCAGGAGGGCCAGCTGGGCCTGGGGGACCGGGCACACCAGGAATGCCTGCCACCCCTTGAGGGCCTCGCTCACCATCCCGGCCATTCCTCCCAAAGCTGGCAGGACCTGGGTCACCTGAAACACACACAGAAAAATGTCCAATGTGAACACGAGAACACTCAAGGCTGCAAACTGGCAGTAGGCACCAGACCTTGCAGCCCAGCATGTGTACTCGGGAGCTTTGGGAAATGATGGGTGATGCTATGATGATGATGATGACGATGATAAAATTCCTTCATTGGACTTAGGTTTCTTAGAAATTAAAAGTGTAAGATCTCAGCATCTCGAACCCACATTTTCATTTTGTAGAGTTGTGCTGTCTGAGTTGGTAGCCTCTGGCCACATATGTCTATTGAGCACTGAAATAAGGCTAAGTCAAAATGAGATGAACTATAAACTCACCTAAACTCTGAAAAAATGAAAACTATTTTGTTCATAATGTTTGTATTTATACATGGTGTGATATTTTGTTAAAGAAACTATATTATTAAAATTAATTACACCTGATTCTTTAGACTTTTTTAATGTGCCAACTTAAAGTTTATTTTTCATAATCCCAAAACTGTTTTTTTTTAATTTTATTACATTTATCAAAATGACATTGGTTAATAAAATTAAATAGATTTCAAATGTATAATTCTGTAATACATCATCTGTATATTGCATTGTTTGTTTACCACCCAAAGTCAGATCTCCTTCTGTCACCATATATCTGACCCCCTTTACCCTTTACTACCCACCCCACCCCCCACTGCTCCCCCTTCTGGTAACCACCATACTGTTGTCCGTGTATATGAGTTTTTATTGGTTTGTCTTATTTGTTCATTTGTTGCTTTCAGTCTTATAACCCACATACTTTGCCATCTGACTTATTTCAAAGATTTAAATTTACACAGGTGCAGCTGGCATTTAGGACTCCCAGTACATTTCTTTTCACCGCACTCCAGTAGTGGCACCCTTACTCCTAATAGATAATCAATATGCAGACAGGGGTAAGAATAGCTCAGTGGTGAGAAGAACATGCTGTGCAGACAGACACGTGGCTCGAAGTCTAGCTCTGCCGTTTACAGACAGAGTGACATTAGCAAGTCACTAATTTCTCACTTTCTGATGGGATAATGCTTTCCTTATAATTAAATTCTCTGCCTGAAAGCATCTGATAAATGGGGGCTATTACTATAATTATGAGGGTATTATTGATTAATGTCTTTAGAGAACTGTGCAATGCACCCTACCGAGCTCCCTGACAGTCTACTCAGGGCCCTAACCCAAGGGCACCTCACTCCAGTCTCACTTCCTCGGGGGCATTTCTTCCCTTTGTGTGTTTGGTTCTTTCAGTGAGGCACCAACAATCCCTAACAAAGAGGAATTTCTGCTAAATGTTTGCCGCTCCACACAGCAGTGCTTCGTGCTATTATTACAACGGTGGCAGTAAGAAATCAGTGTAAAACAACTTGTATCTGTGATGATTATTTAGTTCTATAGAGACTCTCCTTCTATCTCAGCCATCTTAATTTGTCCGTTCGGCCAAAAGGTGAAAGCCAAATCTGCATGTTCAATTGCACATTTGCTGAGGCTTGTTTCTTTCCTTCTCAGTGGTGTTTAGCTTTCCTTTTCTATTTTAGTGGTGATGTGATATATGTCTCCTTGGTCTTATTACATGCTCTTATTACATAAACGCATATACTTTTAGAAAGCAAGTAGGTTAGAGATCCTATCTTACATTTAACATCTCATTCTCCCCAAGAAGCTTACAAAGTAGAGCCACATAAAGCAATGCTATAGGACAAAACATTAATAAGTTTCAAGGGAATAATTATCTCTGATAATGTCCATCTCAAGGCTGTAGGTAAGCAGTGATATAATTTCCCCTCGTTTATCCCATAAGCTTTCATTCGACTATATCAGGTTGTGATGAAGCCAGTGATTATGTGTTTTCTTCTAAAGATGGTTCCTCTCTCACCCAGAGCACCTATGAATGAGTCTCCAGCAGAACCGGGCCTTAGCAGAGCCTATTCAGGTCTCCTCACACTGGGGTCACTTAAAGGTCATTTTTTAAGGTTTAAGATATAGGCCAGACATAAGTGCATATAAAAGGAGGTTTACATGCACCTCATCAGGAGCAATACCAGGTGTAGGCTAAAATCAATCACGATTAGGAGCAGAAAAGACCCAAGGGTAAGGTTGCAAACCAAATGACCACAGGGACAAGGCCAGCATGGAGGTCATGGTGGGCAAATGGCAGCTGACGAGCCAAGTCCTACTTTAGTAAGTGGTCTAATTAGAGCACAGCCATGGTTATTCGTTGACAGGTCGCTTATGGTTGCTTTTGCAAGACAAGGGTAGAGCTGAGTCACTTCAACAGAAAACACATGGCCCTAAAACCAAAACACATGCTCCTTCACACACACACACACACACACACACACACACACACACACACAAAAAAAAGTTTCCTTAAATTAAAGGAAAGCCATTCTCTAATACACAAACTATTAAAAAGCAGAAGGAGTTTAGCTCCCTATTTCCACACCTTGTAGGAGAGGCTTTTTCTTCCCATTCGCTGAGTTCATTTCAGATTCCTGCTCATCCTTTGAGGAAGGAATTGACAAAGCCATCCTGTCTAGCCTTGATTTAGTTTATAAAAGGCTCATCTAGCCCAACTCTCCCTCTGGCAAAAACAGCAATTCACCCTACAGAGCTTTGGGTGATGTTTATCATCATCAACATCAATCATCATCATCACACAGTGCTTTCCCTTTACCCTGCCCACGCACTGTGCTCATTATTGATCCATTTTCCTCATGTGCAACCTGAGAGTTAGGAAGATTAAACAATTGTCCATAATCACATAGCTAGAAAGTGTTGGAGTTAGAAACGAGGGCCTACTAACCTTACCTAACTGTATTTCCATACCCATTGATTTGTTAACTCTGCTGAGGGAGGGTGTGTGTGTGTGTGTGTGTGTGTGTGTGTGTGTGTGTGTAATGTAGTGTATTTTGTTTAATTTGTTGGGCCTGAATTTCCCACAAAGTAGAAAGAGACACAATAGCCAAGAGATAGTATTAATTTTTCTAGAGCTCCACCTATCATAAGAAACTAGTGATTTTTCTCTCAGGTTTTACTCTGTAGAAATGGTCGGAGGAAACATAAATCAGCCTTCACATAACAGACTGCCAGTTTCTGGTGAGCCCTGACACTGGCATTCACTCTCAAAGGTGCTCTAAAATTATTAAGAGCTAATTTGGGAGTAAAACAATGTCACAGTCCAGTAGCTGCATGAACAAATATGTTTAAACTACTTTTCAAGTCTTAAGAAGAGAAAGCACAGATCTAAAGTGTTGCCATTCTGCTCTGCCTGCCTGATGACTACACAGTGTTCTGAAATTTCAAGGACCTTTGAAAACGCCATTGCCAAACATTGGTGGCTTTTAAAACTGAAGGTCTATGTCATTCCCTGTGCGAACACTAGAGGGTAGTCATGTCATATTGATGGAGGCAAATGTATTCTGAAGAATCTAATGCAAACCACAGAATGAAAGGAACTGTTTATGCAGACTTTAAAGGGGGAATAACACAGAAACCCGAAAATAAAGTATTAAGTAGGGTGTTCGATTTTAAACTATTGCTTATGTAAAATGATTTATGAGCCAGGGACTTTCTTATATTTCTCGCCTTACGCTGAGCGTACATTTTTTTAAGCACAGATGTTTAAGAAATAGGTATATAGTGATTTGTTTGTGTGAGATCCCCACAACCAAATAAGATAGTTGCAGCAATGGAAATAAGAGCAATGACTACTGCTAAACGTATCGCTGAACGAAGTGTGCTCTTCGTTTGCTTTTTGCTTTTCCCACTCACTAGTCACCAGCAGAGTTCACCTGTATGCAGATGTTGGGAGAATGCAGAATAACTCATCCATCCAGGATGGCACGGGGGTAAAGCCAGCTCTGCCCTCCCCATCCAAGAAGGGAAAAGCCGCTCAGCTCACAAGTCACAGGCCTGGTGGCCACATACCTATCATTCCTCATTCAACTCCTTTCCCTCATGAGTTTGCATATGAAGGAGGTCAGGACCCATAATTAAATAGTTTTCTTTGAACTCCTCAGAGTGCCAAGGAACTTACTGCAAAGTTCAGTATCAGAAGACAGAGTTCCACTTAATGAGAGGATCCAGTCAAGTAATGCCACTAAGGGCCTCTGGTAAGAAACTGGAGGTGGGGCCAGGTATTGAGGGGATTCTAGAGTCCCAGGGGCCTCAACTGTGATCCACACAGCCATGTGAAAGAGGCAGAAAGGGAATCGAGACACTAAATGGTTAAGGTTGGCGGGGACAAACTAATCTTATTACTAACCAGTCACCCCATCATTTTGCCTACTAAGTGAGCCTGAATGCAGGAAGCATAAATATCTGCCTCTATCACCTGTTACCGAGAGGACTTTGTCAGGAGATGTGGCCTTTGTAAGTCCCGACTTCCTCAAATATAAAAAGAGAAATGGCAATCATAACAGCTCAATTTGCAGAAGGTGTGCCATATGCCAGGCGCTACGCTAAATGCTTTCCATGTGGTAGCACGTACATAGGCCCCCCTAGATGTCCCTACAAGGTAGGTGTGGTTATTATTGCCGTCATGCCGGGGAGAAACTGAAGCACTAAGAGGAAGAGCAGCTGAAAAATAAGTAAGACAGCAGTGCAGACACCTGGCAGCCTGGTCCCAGAGCCCAGACGTCTTACATACCTGCCCTGACTCCTGACTGTGAGAAGAAGCAAACCACGTGGCATCTGTGTGCTCTGTGAACGTTAGAGCTGCAGCCGAATGAGAGTCGATGTGATGCTATAATAATAACCTGTGGTCCATGTGAGGTGATGTAGCATTACAGCCCGAAGGGCCGTGTAATTCTTAACCCTGAACAAAGTGACAGATATGAAGGGGAGTCAGACCTAACACTGTGCAGAAAGAATAAAGAAATTCTGGTAATTGATAGGTAAAGAAGGCCTTGGCTACACTTTTTTTCAAATATCAGATAGGTGAGCAGAAAGAAGAATGACCAAAATGATCTTTATTCCGTTTAGGAGGATTTGCGTTTAAATTTTAACAGAAGGTACAACAGAGAAGGTTGTAGAGTACCTTGGTCTGCAGGTTCTTTCTTTTAGGTAAGATACGTATTGACCTAGAAGGTTCCAGAGAGCTCCTGCAAAGAGTAATGTGGAGGTTCCCCAGGTTCTAAAGTCCTATTGCCTCAAAGAGTGCAATAACAAAGGCCCCCGTGTGCCTATGTGCTTTTGAAAGTTAGCCTTTGTTTTTTTTAAAAAAAAAAAAAAAACAAAACAAAAACAAAAGAAGAAAAAAAAAAAAAACAATGTCCAATATCCTCCTAATGAAAGTATAACGGAAGCTCAGAAACAGAAAGACCGGAATTTCACAGTGGTACCAGGGAGGCAGGAGAAGGACTGGCAAAGGCAGAGAGGAGAAGGGCAGGCCTCAGGAGTCCTACAAAAGGGAGCCCATAACATTTCTTAATAAATCAAATTTAAATATGAGATCCAAGACCAGCTGCAACAAATTTACTTATAAGGGAGAAAAGAGGACGGCCAGGTAGAGCGGCCAATGGTGAGCTGGCCCTGCCTTACCATTTTGCCCATACATGGACGTCTCCTGTACTGAAAAGCAAATCAGCCAAGTCCTATTTTGGCAGAACAACAGGAGGGAGCACTTGTCAACCCCTTCCAGTCAGACTTAGGGACACCGTCCCCTCTTCTCCCCTAGTGGGCTACTGCATGTGGGGGATCATGCGCCTCGAGTGGCAGCCTGATATACTGCATAAACAGAGCTAGTCTTCCTCCGTCTCCCCATTTTTAACCTTAAAATGTTGTTTATCAACAGACTTTTTGAAAGAGTCACCAGAAGCCATAATATATTTTTGTTAGAGGAAAATCTGGCCAATAGTGCAAGTAGCTGTTTCAAGAAGTGATTTCTCAACAAAATGGGAAGAGAAATTGTAACTTATCTTATATGTATACAGATAATTGAGTACATTGTAATGATGGAATTTTAATAGCTTTAAACCCTCCTATTGCTGCCATTGATAAAGGCAATGACTCAGTAAATTCTATTTCTTGTTTCTCTCTTCTAAACACCTATCAATGAATCCAGGCTCCTCTAAAATACTCTTCCCTTGGTCCTATTTAGCTCTAAGCAGATTCTTTCCTTTTCCAACCACACACACACACAAAAAAAAAATCATCAATTTATGAAAATATCTTGACGAGCCCACAGTTTTAGAGAGGCAGTGTTGGAGCTATCTCTAAATGTGTTCATATTTTTAAAATGTATTTTAATGAGAAAGCAATCCCCAGGAGCAATGAAATGTATAATTAGAAAGCAATGATGTTTGGGGCTGCAATTATAGCCATGATTGAATACGTAAGCCTGTGGCAGAATTAGAACATGATTATTTCTTTTTCTAAATTTCCTTAAAACAAGTTTTGCAAATCTATTGTGGAAATATGAGCCACCCTTTGTCTGCCTAACTCCTCTGACCTCACCTCTCCTCAGCTCCGGGGTTTGCGAGCCTTACTGAGCAGCGATAAGAGAGTGTGTTGTGAAACAACGCCTCACTCTTGCTCTTAAGCTGGCTGGCTTTTTGATCCTGCTATGCGGCTTCTGTGGCTGGGCCTATAAGTCATTTCCCAGTGGACGAGTGTGCTGCAGCCTGAACTCCGGGAGACAGAGTCACCAGTGTGTAAGGAGAGAACAGAGACCCAGTGAGAGAATCCAGGCTCTCACACAGAGACTGCTCTGTGGCCTCGGTTGACACAGCAGTGATATGTGGCCTGTGTGTGGCTCTTTGTGTTTGAGTAGGAATACTCAGGTTTACATATTTATTTATTTTGGGGATATGGGTTTCTAGAAGTTCAGGATGTTTGAAACAGGAGCTTTTAAAATAAATTTTTAGTGATTCTCTGTGAAATAGTTTGAAGACTTTGGATGAATTTTCCTGTTGCTCTGACTTTTTAGTTAAAATTAAAAAAACAAAACAGAAAACTATCAACTGAGATTGAAATGGAGAAGACCCCATTTCTTCAGCATTTCAAACGAAGTGCATGTGGCTGGGCCAACAATTTTTAAAATATCCATTAAAAAATTAATATTTCAAGTCCTTCCTGCCATATATTTTCTCACAAAGAGTACAAATGTGATTTAGAGATCATTTAACTCTTCATTAAAGTTGGTCTGGAAAAATTGATGCCAGCCATTCTCGAGTATCACATGATATGCTTATAATTAAAGAACAATTCTTTAAAATATTATCCCACTTGCTGCCAACTTCTCGACCTCATCCTGCCATACATCACACTTACCTGGTAGACCTGTAGCTCCAGGCAAACCCTTGGCACCTCTTCCTGGAGGGCCACGCTCTCCCTTTTCTCCCAATTCACCTGCAGAGTGTTAGAGAAATGTTATATTGCTATATATCTATACAAATAAAGTTCTGTAACTTTAAATTTTAATCGAAGCCCAAACTCTAAACCCAAAAGGTCATAAAATTGTCACAACTAGATTGTAGCAAAGCAAAAATCAAGTTAATTATAATAATGGATCTAAAGGGGGAGGGGTGATCAAATAACCACAGCCATAGATGCTGAAAAGACATTTGAAAAATATTGAACACACATTCCTGATGCAGCAGTCAATAAAATAATAATCAATAGCTACCTTCTTAACGTGAAAAAAATTACTCTCTTCTCTCAACCCAAAAGCTAGCATGATGCTTAATGGGAAACACGATACGCAGCCCCACAACAGTCAGAACATTATCAAGATTCCCCCTGTATCACTACTATCATTTGGTTTGAGAAGTTAAGACCATCTGTTTTCAGGTTCTATGTGTATACATATTAAACTCTAGAAAATCAACTCCAAATGTACCACAGACAACAAGATAATTCAGTAAAATGGCAAGATACAAAGTTAACATATGGAAATCAATAATTTTCATATATAAAAAAGTAATTGGTAGTGAAAAATGATACCATTTGTAATAGCAATTAAAATAGTAAATACTAGGAATATGTTTAATCAGAAATATGTGAATACAATATGAAAACACTTGATATTTCTAAAGGATATCAAAAGACTGAGGAAATGTTCTTATCTGGAATGACATCATCATAAAAGTCATCAGTTCGCCCTACACTGAATTTTCATCATGATCCAATAAAAATACAGTTTTTTTTAACCAAATAGGTGATTCTGAAGTTTGTATATAAAAAACAACAACAAAAAAACAAAACAGAAAACAGAATAGCCATAAGAATTCCCAAAAGAAAAGCAACTTGAAGGGAATTAACCCTACCAAATATTAAACTGTTAAAATATTGTGGGACTGGTATATATGAGCAGACAGACCAGTGAAACAGAACAGAAAATCTAAAAACAGGCCCAAGTACACATAGGAATTAGGTTGTTTTAAAGGTGTCATCTCTAAGTGGGAAAAAGTTTAATAATTCAATAAATAGTGTTGCAAAAGTGAGTAGCCTACTTGAAATAAAACATGTTGGATCTATTTCTCACACCACAAGCCAGAATAAATGGCAAATGTATCAAATATTTTAAATGAATTTAAGAACCAAAAGAAAACAAGGGAGGATTATTTCTCCACCTCAGATTTGAGTTGGTCTTTCTAATATGATATAAAGAGTTCTAACTCTAATATAAGAAACTCCTAAAATCAATACAAAAATGCCAACAACACAATAAACAATAAGCAAAATACATGAGCAAAAAAGTCTGTAAAATGAAATAAAAGGCTCTTATCTATATAAAAAAAAAAAATTCCCTGACTTCACTCTTATAACAGAATTAATGTGAAGTTAGGATAATAAGGATGCTATTTTAACCTACATGATCAGCAAAAAATCCAAAGTTTAATTAAATATGTTCTAGCTGTTGAAAAATACACTATTACACATTGCTGATAAGAGTGTAAATTGGTACAGTCTCCTGGAGGATTACTTAATAACTATCAAAATTAGAACTTCCATTTTACCTAGCAAGTCCACTTCTAGAAATTTATCCTAAAGATATAGAACTTATGTTGATATTTGTACAAAATGAAACATATGCAGCTTCACTGCAGCCTTACTGTAATAGCAGAAGATTGAAAATATTCTAAATGTCCATTAAAGAGTTATACACATTATGGTACTTCCACAGAATGGAATACTATGCAGCTGTGAAGAAGAATCGGGAAGCTCTTTGAAATGATCTTCAAGACATTGTTAAATGAAAAACACACAGTCCAGACCACTTACTATAATACAATATGACTTGTTTTTTAAAGAATGCAGTGGTCAGCAAACTTATTAGTCAACAGAGCCAAATATCAACAGCATAATGATTGAAATTTATTTTGAGAACCAAATTTTTTTAAACTTAAACTTCTTCTAACACCACTTCTTCAAAATAGACTCTCCCAGGCCATGGCATTTTGTGAAAAGAGCCACATTCAAGGGGCCAAAGAGTCCCATATGGCTTGCGAGCTGCAGTTTGCCAACCACAGATCTAGGACAAATACACTATATTCATATATCCTTGCATATCATAGTTAGTAAGGATATAGAAGAAATTAACAATAGTGATGACCTCTGGGAAAGAATAGAGAAACCTCAGCAAATGGGAGACAGGAGTGTCAGAAAAACTCTTTGCTGAATATTTTCTATATATTTAAAAGTATTAAATAATGCAAGTTAATATTACCAAATATAAATGAATGAATTTCCAAATTTTAAAATGTGCTATCAAAAGTGCCTCCATTTTGCTATGGACTCACTATGTACAGAGAATATGGTTTGGGTTGGAACCAACCGTGTGTATTTGTATGACAGTTGATTAAATTCAAGGAATCAGCAGCCACAGAAACAAAGCTGCATTAATTATCCCGCTGCCTGCAGAGACCAAACCCAGAAACTCTGCCTCATTAACACACTGGTCCTGAATGACTTCTATGCTCCTAGCACAAGCAGGCATTGTCCTGCTCTCTCATTAGTATAGTATATTATTTTCTACACTTTCAGAAAATGCAATGGTATTTTGTAACGAATTCTATACAAAATCATTTTTACCAAACATCTGTATCAGCCCAATCTCATTAATACTGAGTCTCTGCAATAATTTAAAAACAAAGGCATGTACACAACAAAAATAGGAAGCATATCTGTACAATCATCAATACATTAGTCAAATATCAACCATCTCTTTAGGAAGGCATATTTAATTATCATACTTTCATTTTAACTGTGATTGTCCTCGTGTGGATATTTTTATGGTGAAACAACTACATTCTCAAAGCAATTTAAATTTGTGTAACTACTGTGTAAGGAACAGAGCTCAGGATGGACTCATATTCACATAAGCTACTTTTTCACACTCATCATTAATCTAGTCTTCTTGTATTAGGAAGATAATGACAATTGGCATTTTTAAAACTAGCAGCTGAAGCACTCTAGTTAACTTAGCAATTTAAATGTCAAATCACTGCAATTCTGGAGACTAGCAGTGAGAAGAGAATCTTTAAATGTGCCATGTTTTTTCATACATGAGATGAAATTATAAATTAAAATGCAACTTTCACACAGATAGCAAAAGTTAAACACATTCAGCATGAAGCCATGACAACTTGGAAACGTTGCTTGCAAGGAGGAAGACTGCCGTCTCAGTTGTGATGCTGCATTCTGGTTAATGGTCCTAAAAAAACAAATTTCAGATAGGCCCCGAGACAGCCATGCTGCAGACTGCCGTTCCACAGCCTGGCTCTGTCTGTCACCAGGGTTAATCTACTTCCTCAAGCCCTGGTCTCGCCTTCCTCTGGGATGTTCAAAAAGCAGCTCAAAGAAGTCACTGTCCACCTCTGTTCGCTGATTGTGTCATAAAATATATATAAAAAGCTTATAAAATCAGCTTTACATAAGGTACGAAGCAAAGCACACAGTTTGAAGAGAAAAACAGTTTATTATGAGCAGAGTGGCTAAAACTAAATAAATGTTTATCACTCCATTGTTGCTCTTTAATTTGTTTGAAAGTTATAATGGAAGGTCAATCATGTGAGCATCTTAATAGTTTAAAAAGAGTTGGTCACAGTATAACTGTACTTTCTCAAATCTTCACTCACATATTGACATGCCTGTCTGACTCACACTGGAATATCTGAAAAAATAGGCAGCTTTACTCGTAAGGACTTCAAAGGAATCCACACTGAACATTCAAAAATGGTATTTATGACAGGAAAGACTGACTTAATACTAAGCAAAGTGAAATAGGCTGTTAGATGTTCTCTTGCGTCTGTTTGAGTACACACATAAAATGTACACCATGCATGAGCTGAGACATATTGATGAAAAACAAAAACATATAACATATGTATAAATGACTTGAACTCCTGAGTATGACTTGATGCCTATTTCTACTGACCCCTATTGAAAATGTGTGACTGTGTTTTTCAGAGTAATTTTTAGGAGGAAAATAGTGACTTAAGATATAGCCTGAACTGTTAAGAGCTTTAGTAAAATTTATTTCTTTGTTACTTACATGACAATTTCTCTAGAAAAAACCATCTCAAAGTGACAACATGGAGCAAGGCTCCATACCTTTACGAGGAATGGGGAAGTGGCAACAGCTGACATTGAAATGCATCTCTCTTCTCCAATGGGCTGAACATTTACGTTTCAAATGGGGAAGTGCTTATTCCCATGGAAAAGGTGATTGTAACCTTTGGATGGTGAAACACTATGTTTAAAAAAAATCTGATTACTTTTTTGCATACACCCCAAGTTTTAAAAAATGAAACGTAAAAAGGAGCTGCTTTAAAGGGATCCAGTGACAAGAAAGATGGAGGGCGCTGGAGAGAAAGTCCTTAGAAAAAAGAAAAGGACTGCATTGCTTCTAGACTATAGACTACATCATAAATACAGAAGGAAAATTAGGGGGAAATTCCTTATGTGATCAAGCTATGCTTGATGAATGGACTTCGTGGTGGAGACATTTCCCAAGTTCCAAGTATAGAAATGTACCTTTCTCCCTCTCAATATTAGGTTTATCTGCTAGGGCCAACCCAAGCCCAGCCCAGCCCAGCCACAAGTCAGTGCTATTAAGAGCCTGGCCAAGGTTCATTCGATTCCCGGTCAGGGCAATGCCTATGTTGTGGGCTCAGTCCCCAGTGTGTGGTGTGCAGGAGGCAGCCGATCAATGATTCTCTCTCATCATTGATGTCTCTCTCTCTCTCTCTCTCTCTCTCTCTCTCTCTCTCTCTCTCTCTCTCTCTCCTTTCCTCTCTGAAATCTATAAAAATATTTTTTAAAAGAGCTGTCCAGACAGTTTCCAAATATTTCCAGTGGTCCTCAGGTTGTACATTGAAATCACCTGGGGGTATATTTTAAATTCCAAACCCCAGACCAATTAAATCAGCAGCTCTGGGAAGGGGACCCACATGCGAGTTATTCCTAAAGCTCCTCAGGTGGTCCCAGCGCACAGCCCCGCCTGTGGAACGGAGCCCTAGGCAACCTCTCCTAAGGAGCAAGTTAGGAATACGTCAACAGCTTCCGATTTTAAAGGAATCAGATGGCACTGTACTAACTGTACTAACTCAAGTTGGGCTCTATCAAATATGGAAACTTCCTTTTAACCAATGACAGCAGGGCTGTGGTTTCTATGGGCCCTACAGGTGTCCCTTTTCAGTGGGAAATGGGCCTCGTGCACTTAGCTGCATGGGGATCTGGCCTCTGGTTAGAACGCAGACTGCTGGGCCCCACCTCCGGGGTCGGATCAGTGGGGCTGGTGAGCGGGAGAGCCTGCATTCTTAGCAAGGTCCCCGGTGCTGCGAAGCTCCTGGGGCCTCTCTTTCAGTCACAGCTCCGAAGTGAACTCCCCAGAGCTAAGAAGACATCCTAGGCACGCCGACACAATGGAGCCAACCACACCAGCTACCGCCCAAGGTAAAGGGGTTTCTTAAAATGGTTCACAGAATGAATGGCAACTAACTGTAAAGCACCTATGGCATGAGTTTCTAAACTAACAGCTGAAAGCAGAACAGCGATGAATGCCCATTCGATTTTCTCAGATAAATTTTTTCTCCAGTTCTCTCTGAGATAAACTCTGAGCTCTCTCCATATCTGGTTTTATGTAGCCTCTGAAAACTCTGAAATGGTGCCAGTCAGGGCTCATTTGTTAACATGAACACGCCAAAAACAATGTAATTAAGGAAATTATTCCAGCTGAGGGTATAGTTAGCCAAATGCATCAGCAATTCATTTATACAGCCAAAGAGGCGGCTTGCTTGCCCTCTGACCATTCACACCGTAATATTTAATCCTAATGGGAGCACCACCATTTTAAAAATAAGTATTTCTCTTGTTTATTTTATGCCACAGCTTTCTGAAGTTTCCCAGAGAGCAGTCAGTCAGTCATCATGATACAGGAACTCCTCATTGTATCTCATCCTCTCTGGAAAGAATCCGGGGCTCACTCACCCCAAGATCACACACTCACCTCAACTGGCAAATGCCATCTGAGGCAACCAGTCCTTCTGCAAGTCCCATTTAATACCTAACCACAACCCTGTTTTTCTGAAAAAATACTAGGAACCAGAGCTTAACGCGCTTTAAGTAGACGGGGAAGAAACAGACTCTCTTGTACTCCCTCACATGTTTAAGAAGGAATAAAGTTTGATTGTACTTCAGAACTAAAAAAAAAATCCATCAAAACCAAATCAGTGTCACATTTTCGAAGGGAGAGGCAGCTGCAACTCATAATGTAATGTTTCTTATGTCCCGCTAACAAGTTTTGTTCGTTTAAGTCACGGATACAAACATCCTAAGGCTGGTTGTCACCTTAGAAGACCTCTACACTAATTTTAGAGTCTGAAAAACAATAATAATAAACAGCTGAATGATCCTGTTCTAGGTCCTGTCGTTTATTCTGAATGATAGGGTTGAGGCAGCATATAATTGGAAAAGGTCAATGCTGGAAGTCAAGGGACCTTAATGCTGGTGTTTACTGTCGTCACAGAGCAGTGCCTGGCAAACTGTGGCTGTGGAGCCACATGTGGCTCTTTGGCCCCTTGAGTGTGGCTCTTCCACAAAAGACCACAGCCTGGGCAAGTCTAATTTTGGAAAAAGTGGCATTAGAAGAAGGTTAGGTTAAAAAAATTTGGCTCTCAAAAGAAATTTCAATCATTGTATTGTTGATATTTAGCTTTGTTGACTAATGAGTTTGCCGACCACTGTCATAGAGCAAGGTCAAGGGAATACCATCTAACAGTTTTCTAATCCTTACCAGCAGCATTGCAAAAGAGAATAACACATCTTAGCACTCAGAAAACCTGGAGCTTGGTAGGACATGTGAATACACCCAAAAAAGGACTGTGTGTTCCTTGGACCCACCTGGGTACAAAGGCTTACCTTTAGGCCCCCTCAGACCAAGAGCCCCAGGGGGCCCCTTCATGCCTGGGAGGCCGCGGAGTCCCATCTGGCCCGGGAAGCCATTCTCTCCAGGGGGCCCTGGGGGACCCGGGAGTCCAGGCCTCCCGGGAAGGCCAGAAGCTCCCGAGTCTGGACGCTTAAGACTAGCAGCCATCTCAGCAAGATGCTCTAAAAGATAATAAACAAAACAGCCCAGAAAAGTCAGAGACATGAAAGGGATACACATGAAAAGAGAGGTATTTCAAGTGCCTTCAAAAAAAAAAATGTGTCACCAGAACTTCAGAATTGGTGGTGAGAAGTGAATCAAGTTGGATCATTTTCCCAGGGGCTCCCTGCCAGGAAGCTTCACGGGGCTGTTCTATTCAGCTCTGCCTGGATATATTTGGTCCTGCTGGTGTGAGACCAGGGACAAAAGGATGGGGATTTAAAAAAAAAAAAAATTAACTACACTGCAGGGCTCTGGGGTGAGTGGTGTTCTAAAAGAATGAGGGTGTCACCTGCATCCTGGCTTGTTATCGGAAAGCCCAGGATAGGGAGAAAATGAGTTTCTTCAAAGAGGTAGAATGATGTTCGGAGTTTATTAAAAGCCAAGGACATTGTCCTGAAGGAGCATGGAGATACCATTTAAGACCTAGCCTCACAGGTTTAGCTTGAAGATACTAAGTAACTTGAAATATTTTGTGAATTCATGACTTCTTATGAATTCTTCTTTTCAAAGTTTTTTTTTTTTTTTTTTCATGCTTGGAGTAGATAATAAACATTAAAAATCGCCTGCTTCCTGGGAATGGTCGCAGTCTGTCTTAAACATTAATAACTTTGTGGGCTTTTTCAGGAACCATTAAATAGATTAAGAATCATCCACTAAAACCATAGAGAACAAGGCAATGTTCCCATTATAGTACTCTAAGGAACAAATTCTGATGTAATATATTTTCACGCTTTAGGGTGCAAAGAAGAATAGGAATTGGAAACACATTTCTAACCAATATTTTACAACTGTCGCAATGTGAGTATGCTAAGTGTGCCTTGCATAAGAAAGAGCTAGTACAAAATCACCATTTTCTGGATAGGTGCTGTTTAAAATGGAAGCATCCTTTCAAGATACAATGTCTGCAATAAAGAGAGATCTGTTTTCAAATCCAGAGGTGACCGTTTCATTCTGGAAAACTCTACCAGTCTACGAGACAAATCAGACAATCTCATGAGCCTACAGAGAAGAGTATTCCTTTCTGCCGGGAGTGGTTCCCACCAGGGTAAGACAATGACTTGTCAGAGCGCCCAGGGTTGCCAGGCCTCCTGCCACAGGAGGGTTGGCACACCTCTGTTTTCCATGTGATTGCAGAGCCAGGCCGGTTCCGAAGCAGCTGTGGCAAACAGCAGTCGCCATAGCCACAGGTCAGTTTAGATAAAGGTTCATGAATGTGAACATTTTGGTAAAATACTAGTTCTTGATTTTCTATAAAGGTGGTACAGGAGTAGCCGTACTGTCCTGATGCTTCTTACTGCCTGGAGTCTGTCAGTTACTTCTCACGCAATCTACAGAGAGAGCCCCGGTCAGCGCTGGGCACTCAGAGTGGTGGGGTGTTGAAGAAGGGAAAGATACCTGAGAATCGTAGTTTCAACAGGGGAAAGTGTGTGTGTGTGTGTGTGTGTGTGTGTGTGTGTGTGGTGTGTGTACACGCACTTTCTTGTAAATTAATACCTTTGGCCAAAAAACAATCTCAGGCTAATCCAGAAAGGCATTGTTTTTCTTTTTCTTTGAAGCTATAAGCTATTGTGATGACGACCAATTGGATAAAACAGAACTGACATGCGTATTATTTTAAAAACTCCCTCCTTAAAGCATACAAAAGGTCAAGCATTAGGATTTATTTACCTTGCATGACCCTCATGCAAACCTGCTTGATGTGCTGATCTGTGGGCGCTCTCCCCTGGGGCAGGAAGGAAGAAGCGGTGAGTTACCCACGGGGCCGCAGACAGGGCTCTGTCACAGGGTGCATGGGCAGACGTGGCAGGGGACAAGTGGCTGGATTCACGGCAGGACAACCGCCCACACTGCCCAGGAGCGGGTGTCTGGGCTCGCCGGGGACCCCGGCCCCTGGTGCTGTGGGGTGGGGCCCCCGCCACTCACGGGAGGGCCCTCGATGCCAGGCAGGCCGGTGGCGCCCTGTTCTCCCTGCACGCCTCGGGGTCCCGGCGGTCCTTTCGGTCCTTCCACTCCGGGGAGCCCCCGGCCGCCTTCAGGCCCCCGCAAGCCAGGCTCCCCGGGGTTACCCACCTACAACACAGTGGCACAGGGTGAAACCAGGACTAGTACAAGTCTGCTTAATATTGCCACAGTATTAATATTCAAACTTGGAGGTTTACTACGTTCTGTTCAGTCAGAGGTGAGAATTCCTCAGCGTAGACACACAGCGCCACGCAACTCACCAGCCTCTTAGAATTCCAGTTCGAGCAAACTTTTAAAGAATCTTTCCTTTTTGTACAGTTATTATTTCAAATTGGTAACTGAAATAATACATTTTTAAAACCACATTCTTTATACGTTAAGCCACGTCCTAAGAGCAAGTTAGTGCTTAATAAGGCTTAACTTTTTCTTCCCACAAAAAGGCCAACAAGTTCTTACATGTTATTTTGTATATCACCAATACAGCAAGCATAAAACAAAGATATCTCTAAGAACATGAGGTATTTAGCTTTTATAAGATTCTTTGGAGAATTTGAAGATGCCAGATATATCCAGTAATTATAAAATACTAACATGAACTAAATCAATGCATGTAAAACACCACATTGACAACATTGCATTTAAAATCAATGCTTTTAAAATACTGGAACAAAACAAGTCCATAATTTAAGTATTGAAAAGTTAAAAATCTAAATATTAATGAAGTTAGAAATAAACTGTTTCCTTAGCACAAAAGCATATACACATTAGATTTTTGTTTTCTGGAAGCAGGCCACTGAAAGCATTTAAAAGAATCCTCGAGCACAATAACTGCTTTAGAAAGAGACTAAATTAATTCACTTTTTGTTAAGCTACCTCTGGTAGAGTTTGTGGCGCAGTAGTTACAATGTACTGTTGTTTATAGAATAAATATGAGAAGATAAAAGAACAGGAGGCAGCAAGGGATGCTAGAGTTCAAGATACAAATGTTCATAAAGCAACTTAATCCTGCTTCCTTTTCCTATGAAACATTTTTCTAGAAAAAGCTCTTCAAAACACTCAAATGTCTCCAACTGAAGGGAAGAAGGCAACGAAGGAATTCTTTCACCAGACACATTCAAAGAAATCTCAGCAAGTGTGCTTTTTCCAATCTCTCTTTATGCAAAAAATTTTTTAAAAGATATTCATCTAACTCAACCTGTCAAAATTGCTCCTAGGAAGAAATTACAGCTAAAAGACTTCCTGAAAGACAGTGTCAACAGGGAGAGGGAAGGATGTGCGATGGAAGGCTGGGGAGTTGTCAGGTGACTAGAGTGCAGAACTGTCAGAGCTTCTGAAGCAACCCAGAGGAGAAGCCAAATGAACGCAGAAATGCATTAACGAACTGGCAGGAAACAAAGGAGACCGAATCAGTGTAGTTTCTGCTGACAATGCTAACATATTGTTGGAACAAGAGACAAGAAATTTTTGATGAAGAGATCAAGGCACTAGGATATGATAAGGATCCTGGATCTTTGGGGGGAAATCCCTCAGATGAGGAGAGGTATGCTAAAGTAGAAACAGGCTTTACTTGCTATCAAGTTAGTCTACGCTGAAATCACTAAGGACAGCAAAAGTCTTCTGTTAGTGACTATTTCCCCTGATTCTGGGACAGTACACTTTAATTTCATCAATATCACCTGAGTCTTATTGGAGAAGGGGGCGGGTAGGGTAGAAAGAAAGGTGAGGAATCAAGAGCTAATTCCTAGTATTATATCCAAATTTAAATGAAGTGATCACTGCATTATTCATTTTTCTTTTATAGCTTGAACATTAACAATTATTGCTGCACCATGAAAGAGCCTCTTTATTACCAAATTCTAAGATGGTTTATCTTTTACATTTTCTCAATCCCAAACCATTTCCATCTACGATTCTTAGGCAGAAAAATGTTACTTTAAGCTTGAGATGGCATTTAGAGGCAGGATGCAAACAGCTAAGTTAATACAACTTAGTAATAATTGCCACTTCAGTGGTGTGTAAAGAACCCAGGACAGGGCTTTGTGACCAAGTCTGGGTGAGTCTCCCCAGAGAAAGTGGGGCTGACTGTATAGGAGGAGGTGGCTGTTTTAAGGGAAGAAACAGAAGGCAGCAGGCTGGGTGAACAGCACGAGGCACCAGACAGCATGCCATGTAAGAAGAGCTGCAAACAGATGCAATTCCAGACGTGAAGGAGAGGAGAGGAGACAGGCAAGGCAGACAACACTTTGTCAAAAGCTGTGGGCACCTGGCTAAAAATCCAAGTTTACTCCATCAACTATTATCCCTGAAGGATTTAAAGCAGAGCAGGGGTAGTGTGTTTTATCTTTTCTCTCTAGATGTCCATGGCTGCCACAAGGATCATAAGTTGGACAGGGATGGAGAGGAGTAGGGGAGATTCCAGAAATAGGAAGGACTTGGAGACTCACTGGCAGCTGGTGGTTAGTGACATCTGAGATTGAGGTCTGAGCTTCATCTTTTCTCCTTACACTAAATCTTTATTGTCCTAGTGCATGCCTTTCAAATTATAGGTCATCCCAGGTCTGCCGCTAATTGGTTCTATCATTCTGAATTCATCTAATCTCTAAGGACATCAGTTTAGTTTCTACAAAATGATTAATTAAAAAAGGTAATTGTTTTTCAGCTCTAATAATTCTCTATTACATTTTCTTGTGCATTCTGTCTCTATCTTACTTCCCCAAATAGAATACCTTGGAGATTAAGAAAATTACTGAAATATTTGCCAACAAATTGTACAACTGCCAACAAAACTCAATTATACTCTCTCATCACCATGACACACAAGTCAGTTCTTTAAACATGGCCCATTTGGGGAAGAAATTACCATGTAATATATTCATTGAGCCACTTGTAATATGAAAGAAAAAAAAAACACATCCGTTAGAATGTTTAGTTCAATAGGCAGATCTATTTGCTCTGTTGTTTAGTTCTTTGAATTAATCCACTACATAAAGAATAAATTTAGACATTCATTTCCTTGAAGATAAATCTATTAAGAATTGAATTTACAGAATGATTTCATAAAGCAAAGCATTGCATTTTCTCCAGCATTATTGATATTTTTATTTTTGAACCATTATTGTTCATTATACTTACAGTTCCCTTTGGGCCAGGTAATCCTGTATCTCCCTAAATCAATAAAACAAAATTATATTAGAACACTGTATTCACAAAGATATTATGCTGCTGAAATCTATAGAAAACTGTGAACAGAGGTGAATCCTGACACCACAGAAAGCCATTAGACTCAAAAGTTGAATTCTCCTCCCAGTTTTGCTACTTAGCTTTGCTACCCTGGGTGAGCCAGGGAACCTCCAAACTTGGCTAACTTATCTGGTTAAGTAACAGGGTTGAATCAGAGCTATCCAAGCTCCATCCAGATCTAAAATGCTAGGCGGTGAGAATTAAAGTGTCAAAGATATTAAACTAGCATTCTGTTATAAAATCTAATAGGCATTTAAACCTATGACTTTGTTTTCCAAACTCTAACAATATTTTAAAATGTATCCCAGAAGTCTATCAAGCCAAATATGCATATTTTAGGCCAAAAAAAAACCACCTTAAAAATCTCCCACCATCAAGTCTAGATATGAATGCAGCTCAATTTTTAGCACATTAGTTCATCTTCACTACCAAACAGAAGATTTAAAACTTCCCCTTAGTCCATAAAATGAACAATTTTAACAGAAGACTAAAATAGAAACAATTATTTGTGGAATTTGCTTAATAGTTAGGAAGCTTTGCCTAATTCAGATGTTACATTTATACTAACTCTAAATCCTGTAAATCTGAATAAAAACATTACCAGAATATTTTCCTGCACTAAAAGATCTCCAAAACTAATTGATGAGGAATCCATCACCCCCTCCCCCAAGGACCAAACATTAGCTTCCACTCTAGATCATGCTAGATGTCAAAACCTAAGGATGAACCAAGGGACCTCGCTGTCCTGGCAGTAACAATTACTTGTCCTTATTGTCTTCCTGTGGGTTTAGCTGCAGGTAGAGATGGGGGTCACCACTTTGGAGGGTTTTAGAGCAAAGAGAATGCCCACCTGTGAGCCCCAGTTTTTTAACTATACTAAAACTTTAATGTTTTCTTTCCATGAGAGGCAATTTTCACAGACTTTCTATAGTCAGCACATGAGTGTCAACGTAAAAACCAGGAGGTCATGGTTCCTGGTCAGCACATGCCCATATTACGGGCTTGATCCTGTGTAGGGCATGCAGGAGGCAGCCAATCAATGGTTCTCTCTCATCATTGAAGCTTCTCTTTCTCCCTCTCCTTTCCTCTCTGAAATCAATAACACACACACACACTAGAGGCCCCCTCAGCCCAGCCTGCACCCCATCCAATCTGGGATCCCTCAGGGAATGTCTGACTGCCAGTGTAGGCCTGATCCTGGGTATTGGACCTAAACCGGCAGTGGGACATTGCTCTCACAATCCTGGACAACTACCTTCTAATTGCTTACCTGCCTGCCTGCCTAGTCACCCCTAACTGCCCCCCCCCTGCCAGCCTGATTGCCCCTCACTGCCTCTGTATGCCATCCTGATCTGCCAGCCTGATCACTCATAACTGCCTCCCCTGCTGGCCAGATCGGCCCCAACTGCCCCGTTACTGCCAGCCTGGTCACCCCTTACTGCCTCTGCTGCCAGCCTGGTCACCCCCAACTGCCCTCCTACTGGCCTGGTTGCCCCCAACTGCCCCCCTGCCAGTCTGGTTGCCCCTTATGCCCCCCCCGCTGGCCTGGTCATCCCATGTAGCCTGCTGTTCAGTTGTTTGGTCGACCCTCACTAACTTCCCTGCCAGCCTGATTGCAGCCTCCTTGTTCAGTCATTCATCACTAACCCCCCTGCTGGCCTGGTTGTAGGCAGCCATCTTATGAGGGTGTGATGGTCAATTTGCATATTGCCTCTTTATGATATGATATATTATCCTGATTGTATAGATGTAAACCCACAGGAGAATTCACCATGTCTAAGGGAACAGGAACACTTTGTTCTCCAACGGTATAAGGCTCAGTCTATCACCATCTCAATGTTTCCCCTCTGCCTTACTTGATCTTGGCTGTAATCTTGGAGAGTCATTTGTTATGATATCTAAGAAACATCTTAACTTTTAAAGAAGACAAAGAAAGATAAGATGGGCAGAGAAAAAGAAAAATATATGTTGTAATAGAGTTTGAAATCAGTAAATCTCCATCATTAACCAGAAAAAAAAGATGTCTTACAAGTTCACCCCTTTCTCCTGCTTCACCTTCTTCACCAGAGGCACCCTAAAAATTAAGTCACATTTGAAAATTTAAAAGTCACATTTTAAAATTCTTAGCACCCCTCCTTCCCCTGCTTAGTCAAACTAATGGGCATTCATGAATGGCCACTCTGCTTCCAGGATCATGCAGAAATACAAAATGCTCTCAGTGGCTTTCCAATCTAGCTATCAATGGCCAGGCCAAATCAGAAAATGGCCTAGCCTGGTCAGAGTGGCTCAGTTGTTTGAGTGTCATCCTATACATCAAAAGGTTGCTGGTTGGATTCCTAGTCAGGGCACATACCTAGGTTGGGGGTTCAATCCCCTGTTAGAGCATACAAAAGTTAACTGATTGATGTTTCTCTCTCACACTGATATGTCCCTTTCTCTATCTATCTATCTATCTCTCCCTTCCTCTCTCTCAGCATGTCCTTGAGTAAAAATTAAAAATTAGTTAATTAGTTAATGAATTAATTTAATTTAATGGCCTAGACAGGTGGGTAGTGGAAATATTGAGGAGAGCATTTTGTATGCTGTACACCTAAATAATACAAAATAATATTGGATGTAAACTGTAATTAAAAAATAAAATTTAAAAGAATCCATATGTGAGAAGAAAACAAAAGGAAGTGGCCTCGAGAAAAGCCAGAAGGTGGTTCATTTTCTGCTAAAATGAAGGATTACTGAGAGTATTCAGCAATCTTATAATTAGGTAATCTTTGACAAAGGGCTCTTACAGTATGAACTCCAGAGAAAGGACTGATTCTAATTCATATGCATAGGTTATTTGTTAATTCCTTGACACAGAGAAACTTAAAAGGAAGGCTTCATCAGAATAAACCGATTTGGTGAAGGAGAGAAGCAGGGCCAGTTTTTTCAAAGGAAGGAAAATGTGTAGCTCTGGAAGCAGAGCCATCGTTAGCTCCAGCTTATAAAACAGTGACTAAGGCTACAGTCCAAGCTAAACTCTAGGTGTCACTCATGGTGAAACACAGCGAGAAAAACCACTGGCCTCCAACATTTTAGTTACACCCATAAGCCAGCTAGTGCCCCCTGCTGGTAGAGCATAGTCATGCACATTAAACCCTGCATTTTCTACTGCCATTCAACTAGGACCTACCTGTTCACCCTTTGGACCAGGTTCACCGACTACACCCTGTAATGCATGAAATATAATACTTTTTCAGTATTTTAATATTTAGTCTGAAATGACTCAACCCCCTTTATTGGGCTGGTGGATAAGCACCAATACAAATATTGTGAAAGAAGAGAACATCTCCCTCTCTCACCACCTAATAAGAGTCAGGTAAGACCTAGAGAAACAGGCAATTGCGCCCCCTCTTCCCCACAGGGCATTGGGGCAATTTGGGGCATTCTTTGATCCCACTGATGTGCAATTTGACTAGTAAGAATGTAAGTTCAGATCTAAATAGAGAGCATGATTACAACAGAAATTTTTACTTTCTTCCATTTCCCCGCCCTCCTGAAAAATTATTATATTAATAGGGTTTTTTTGTTTTTTGTTTTTTTTTTTTTGCTTCCTAATATCAGCTCTCAGTAATTTCAAGTACCTGTCTTGATAGCTCTCTGTGATAAGCTCAAAAAATTTAGAACTTTCTAAAAGCAAAGCCAAAAGCAGGACTGGTTTTCTCAGCATCATAGAAATCCCTTCCAAACAAGGGGCCTTTTGGAGGACTAGAAAGCTTACCCTGTCACCTTTCATTCCAGGAAGTCCGGGGGGGCCAGGCAAGCCAGGGAGGCCAGGGCTACCAGGAGAGCCCTGAAAAGCAAACACCGTGTCCCCAGAATCACTGTTGCTGAAAGCACACAGGCCCCGGGTGTGTTGACGCCTGTCTGAAATTAATGAGCTGTGTGGTTTTGGTTTTACCCTGTTCCTCAAACCTGCCTCTTTCTCAGATTCTCAGAAGAGAGATCAGCTCCCCCACCCCTTCTCCCCCACCTCTGAGCTCCCCGTTCCCCAGTTTGCACTCCTTCCCAACAGTGAGCTCTTTGAGTCGCCCTGGGCGCTGCTCCTCTCGCTGTGTAAACAAGCGCAGCCACAGGAGGAGAAGGCGGCATTCAGCACAGTCCCTTCCAGGCCAAGAACAACCAGAGGCCAAATGTGGCGACTGATGTCTCTCCCGGTGGTAAAATGTATGCTTCCAACTGCGCTGATTAGAATGCCCTCGGAGGGCGTTTCAAATATAGTTTGAAATTACCCACTTGCTTTTTTCACATCTTCACATAAACAATAAGAATCGAGAAAGGATGATTAAATTGCCCTTTGTGAATCGTTTTTCTCTCCTTGCTTATTATTATTATTTTTTTTATGCACCGTGTTTTATACGAAGCAGATAAATTGCTGGAGCCTGAAAACATGACTTACCAGTTTACCTGGTACGCCTGGGGGTCCCATGGGTCCAACTTCTCCTCTGCTGCCCTGGAAAGACACAACACAGACATCCAAATGCTTAATTACCATGCCGATAAAACCATATCCTACCAGGGGTTTGTTTGAATATGCCATTAAAGTATTCACATCTAACGGCAGACCCCTTTGTATCCAATGCCTCAGCCTCTTCAGTGTTCATCCTTCGGCGAATGCCGTCAGTGCTGTTCGTTGTGGTTACAGACCATTAGAAATAACTGGTACATCTGTGCGAAATGCACCCGGTAATCTCCAGCATCGATATCACCACCTGACTTACGTGATGGGTCTGTATGTACATGTTTTATCCCCTCATTTAGACTCTGTGTGCTTGAGGTGTAGGTACACTACTTTTGAATGCCACCCCATGCCTAAAACTCAGAGGAAACAGCACATTTTAAAGCACTATCTGGCAAATGATCTTGAACCTAAAAAGAGTGAAAAAGAGACAAAGACAGAAAAGTTTGCCTTTAAATTACTGTTACAACTTGGGAAAGACATAGGAGAAATTTATAGTTTCTGAAATTAAAAATTCTTTGCTCTACTCATGTCTTAAATGTGTCTTAAAAGATTAAGCACTTTGAAAAGTACAATTTATACTGAAGGCACACCAACAGCAGTACTCTAATTTCATTTTCTGAGCCAATTTAGATTTTTATTTGAAAACATAAGGACTTTGAGGAGACACATGAACTCTTCCATTTCTTTCCCTGAGAACTTCATATCGTTTTATGCCGTCTGATAAAAGCTTGTGTTATTTTTAAGCATATTCAACTAAGCTGAACACTGAGGTTATTAGATAAATAATCACTGGACAATGCTTTAAAAATGGAAATTTGTTTTTCTTTAAAATGACACGACAATTTCATATTAATGTTTAATATTTGTAAATACTTCTGGTAAGATTATCTTGATCTGACCCATATGCTATTCATTCATCTATAAGTTGAACAAGATGTCAGGATCCATAAACCTACTGAACTTTCAATTTCTCTAAAGGGGTTAAAAAATATTTGCCAAATTACCAGTTTCTAGCTATGAGGCATAATTTTGTGGCAGTAATTTCATATGACTTATAGGTGATTTAAATGAAATGCTCTTAAATTACTTGCCAAAATTTTTCCTTTAATTCTCACCCAAGGATAAAATCAATATTTTTATTGATTTTCGAGAAGGGGGGCAGTGAGGGAGGGACAGAGACATCAATTAGTTGCCTCTGTATGTGCCCCTACCATGGATCAAACCCACAACCTAGATATGTGCCCTGACCAGAAATTGAACCCAGCACCTTTTGGTGTACAGGATGACACTCCAATGAACTTACTGTATTTTCCAGCGTATAAGGCGACCCCCTAATATTACAGTTAAAACATAGGTTTAGCCCTATATTCACTGTATAAAACTACCCCCCATTTCCGAGGCAACACCAGTTCTTTTTTTAATAGACTGCCTCTCTGACTCTGGCGAATCCAAGCAGGCTTTTTATGCATGCAAATTATTCATGTTCTGTACCTGAAGCTATGCTGTGTTCTAATAAAAAGCCTGCTAGGGCGGTGGTATAGTGCCATCCTAGATTTCCAAGTGAGGTGCTGTCTATCTGTCCTCTTTTCTCTGTTCCCTCTGCTGAGACCTGAATTCAGACCACTGAAAAAGCCCGGTTGACTTTTTTTTGGTTCAAAAGTAGTCTTATATGCCGGAAAATACGGTAGCCATCCTGCCAGGCCAAATTTCCAAAACTTTTATATAAACAACCTGACTAGTGTATGAGTTTGGAAGCCAGAGACAGTGCCTTTGATACAAATCTAAATGAAAACCAGTCACTGTGATAGATTTTTCTGTTCACCTATAAATAGAAAATTAGGTCCCACCCATTAATTTGGCCCAGCACTTCAAAGTTCAAGACAGATTTTCTTCAGTATAATTGCTCTTTTGGCATTTTCAAATAATTTCTCAACTGCATCATGATTGAGATCCTAAATGTCATTGGGCTAACATGACTTTAATTCACAGAACAATTAGTAGTCATCGGTGAAGAACATAATTAATCATATTGGGAGGGGAGAACTCAGCTCTTGACACAACCTCAAGCATTCACTTCTAAATAAATGAGCCATTATGCCATCTTACCCAAAATAAAGATGATGGATATAGTACCTTTTTTCTCTTCCACAATGAAAGGGCTAAGTCAAAAGAAAGGATTGTATAGCCTTTCATTTATTTTTGGCGAGATTAATTATCTTTCCAGTCAAAGACAAGGATTTTCTCTGCTGGAATCTTATTTTCTCTGTCTTTGGTGAGCTCTAATTATTCAGCTCATAAGTATTTCTCAACCACTGGCAGGCCCTTGGCAAAACATATGAGTGGCTCAGAACCCTACAGCCTGCTCTGCTGAACTTGGGTACACATGACAACCCGACACACATAGGACCGTGGGAAGGATCAGTGAGATTATGAGCATTTACTCATCTGTTACTGCCCAAATAGCATATAACTCCTCATTTTCATTTCACTTCCATCCTACAAATTCTTGGCCATTCTAAACGTACTTATTTCTATGCACATCATCTCACTGTGGGGGGAAAAAGTAATGATTGTTTTTACAACAATGTTCAAACAGCTACAAACAAAGCATTAGGGCAAGATTTTCTAATGGCCATACTTAACATTTCTAGGTATTTCAAAAACATGCATAATCTTTCTCCAAGTTCTGGAATTTCACCTGTTACTAAGATGAACATGAATAATCAAATATGCACAGTAATCTCTAAAAAGGTAGAGTAAACTAAACACATTCTGCAGAGAGCAATCAACCCTGACCTGGTAACCACAAGCATGCTAAATAAATGCAAAATCTCCTACATTTCAACAGCTGTGATGATAAACACATTCTCAGATGAGGGTGAGAAAGGCTGGTAGGGAAATTGTTATTCTGCCCAGTGGCAAATATCTACACACTCCATGACAATAAGAGTTATAACTTCTTATATAAGAGAATTGAAGTGACCAGGAGGGGAAAGGCAAAAGCCCATTAAAAATGTAAGCACCATAACAAAAAGCTATAATTTGCTCTTGGATGCTCTGTGCCACCACATACTAGTGTATCTCTGACATGTTCAGACACATCAGCCAGTTCATCCCTATTTAAGAAGCCAAGCAAAACTTTAAAATAAAAAATAAAAAAAAAGCAGACCCTCGATCAGTGATTCCTGATTCTGGCTGTGCATCAGAATCTGGAGGGCTTTTTAGAAAAGTATTTCACCATGTATCTTCCACCAGTCCCTCTCTCCATTCCCCCTCATATTCCACCCTTCTCCCCCAGATTCTGATCCTGTAAGCTTGGGGTAAGACTTAAGAATCTGTTTGGGCTTATGTTGTGTTTAATCTGTCTTTAAGAGCTTTTCTTAGACTTTTGATAAATGCTCACTACAAAAGTTCTATAAATACTAAAATTTGTTAAATATATATTTGTACCACTGGAATCTGGCAAGCTAACTTCCAGTAAGGACCATCCTGTGGAGCCTTGACTTGAGCAGGGAGGCATTTGAGGGCAGAGGTGATGTGTGGGCATTGAGCCCATTGCCAGGCCTGAAGCCTGGCTCCCCGTGCAACAGCTAACACCGGGCACACAGCGCACTCTTTGTGCCTGGGTTCCCTCACCCAGAAAGCGGGGCCTAATAGCAGTACCTATCTGAGGGATGGATTAGATGCATGAAGCACTTCGAACAGTCTCTGGCTCATAGGGAGTTTATAGAAATATTTTTTTTATCCATGTTTTCATTCAAAGATTAAAGAAAAGAAAGTCAAAATTCTTTTTTAATTAAATGATTACATGTTTTTTGCCTTTCAACTCTCTTATGTTTCTTTAAAAGCACACGTGCTTGGACAAAATGAGTATCTGGTCCTCATTTCTTGAGTTTCTGTTAAGGTCATTGATTAGCAGGAGGGCACTTTCTTAGGAAGCAAGCACAGAAGATTCTCACTTAACATCATCAATAGGTTCTGCAATTTTAGGGGAAGCAATGTATAATAAAAGGCTAATTGATAAGAATGAGAGTTAATTTTCTATGGTATCTCATCAATGTTATGAGGAAATGACATTGACTAAACCGATGTTATTTGAAGACTCACTATAGTATTTATTTTATATATATATATATATATATATATATATATATATATATATATATATATATATATAAAAAACAAGTTACTCAAAAATGCTCATTTCAATAAATAAAGAAAAATAATTCTATTTGGAAGTCTCCCTTTTAAAAAATGAAACTATTAGACTTTTAAAATAATGCAGAAAAATACTTGCATTGTCATAATTATTTTACCCCCAAAAAAGGATTTTTATTTCATTGTGCTCTAGACTGTGATAGTGATTGTATTTGCCTGATTACCCAAAATGCTAACTAGGTGAAGGATAAACATTATCCTTAGTACCTTGCCAATTTTAGAAATGGGAAATATAAATCATTAAACTAAGTGCCTCTCTTTGGCAAAAAGGATGCTGATTAAGCCAGAAAATCAATTATAATTTCTATCAATTGTTGCTTTTCTGTACCTATTTACCTATTAACTTCAAAATATCATGTTAGTCCTACCACAGTAATACTTTTTAGGTTTGGCACAAAGATATTTTTAAATCTATTCAATTTCACAAAAATACATAGTTTCTGTTTCTCTGGTGTAGGTTTAAATATTCCCTCATGTACAGGTTAGATAAAAATCTGTCCAAATTATAACTATCACAGTTGTTACACAAATTATTGACAGGGCTAACATTCTGGGGCCTGGGTGGGATAGGAAGACAGCTCAAGTCACTCAACAACATACCTTATGGTGGCCTCTGTGCTTGAGGCTGTTGAAAATAGGGTGGAGGGGAAGGATTTTAAGAAACATGATTCACTTGAGAAAGAAGAACAAAGTAGGAGAGATCTCAATACTAGATATCAAGCTGCATTACAAAACCACTGTCCTCAAAATTGCCTGGTACTGGCATAAGAACA